CTCTCTTCCCATCTATCTCTCTCTCTCCATCTCTCTCCTCTCTCTTTCTCCCTCTCTCTCTCTCTCTCTCTCTCTCTCTCTCTCTTCTCTTCTCTCTTACTCGAACCTATCAGCATTTACTCGCCAATCTTGCACGGCTTCTCTTTGGAAGAGAGAGAGAGAGAGAGAGAGAGAGAGAGAGAGAGAGAGAGAGCGAGAGAGAGATGCATTTAGGCAATTCAACAGCTGCTATCGTCCGCAGAGTTCCTAAATTATGTAACAGTTCTTGCTGTCTTCGTGCATGCGTGTACACTCCAACGCACACGCGCATCCAACCGCACCGACCAAAACACAAATGAAAAGTGGATACCTCCGGTAAACCGGATATAGCAATAAACTAAAGCGATATCACACAGGCTACCATAACTGCAGTAAATTGTCAATATACATCCAGCCTCGTTCGCAAAGTGATTCTTAGCTTCCCGCATTGCTGCATCATCACGGTACCCATGGTGATACCACGAATTCACGCTCCACATCTGATATATTTACAACAGAAGCAGCATCCAGACTAGCAATTCTCCACCAAGCGATTAAGGTACTTGATATTGTCTCGACATATTAGATACATAGCTTAGTTAGTTAGTTATATGAATTTGATGGACAATATATAATTAGTAGGATTTAAAATGTGCTTACTGTCGAGGTTACGTAGGGTAAACTTTAGCTGCTGTCACTCATACCAGGCATACTACACAGTTCGTGCCAATCTAATAACCTCATTTTTATATGTAATGGCAAGACCAGGTGCGTGTACATGCGTTTTTACTGCAAATGCATGAAAAAAAATCAGTATTTCAGCATTTGACTTGCATTTCCTTGAATTATGACTTTACCATAAAGATGTCTTGCCACTAGGCCTACGATCTGTAGATATAAAGTAATTATAACCAATCTCATTTTCTTAACTGTCTTACGTAACCGCTACTGTTTATATCACATATCACTGTAGAAATGATTGCTGACACGTATACCTACCTACACCTAGAAATTCACTTTATCCATGATTATATAAGCGTACAATGACGTTATAATGAGTTTTGCAGCCAGCAAGTATCAATTATTCACCACAGTACTCTGAAAAAGTGTCTCAATCAACGGCTATTACTACTAATTACAGAAGCTGACGTAAATACTACTAGAGGATATACGTATTACGTGCTTATATCCTCTAGTGGTATTTACGTCAGCTTCTGTATATGAGACATGTTACCGGTGAATGTAATGCATTAATTCTTTCACATTGCACTCTCTTCATTACTGTGGAGGTGTGGACCCGGGAGGAGGTGTAACTTCGTTCAGCTGAAACAGGCCCGGCAGACTCCAGGCTGCCGCTGCCAGGATTCCACCCAGCATCACGAAAACAGTGGGCTACGGCGAACAGATTGAGAGCGGGACACGGTATAGAACTGCAGCTAACTTACACCGATGGGGACTTCAAGATTCACCAACGTGCCCAGCTTGTCAGGGGGGTGACCCTAAAAACTGATCATCTGGTGCTAAACTGTCCAGTGACGAGGATACCGGGAGGATATGTCACCATAAATGAATGTGGTCAACTCTTCTGCGCAACTAGATTGCCCATGGGGCTGTGGAGGTGTGATGTTGATGCCATACGATACTACTACTATTGCATTCTCTCACCTGTGCTGGAGATGACTCTCAAGTTCGCACCTGGGCAGGACAGCTTCGCAGTAATCAACGTTTGGACAGACGACAAGAAGCTTGTCCAAAAGCCTGCCAACACAACACAACACAGCACACACATTTAGCCATAGCTAGTCCCACATCAAGCTAAACTAAGGTTTGATAATTAATATAAATTTTATTAATTTTTATTAATTAAAATAATAACCACCGGGTATGATAATTAGCAGTAATTCTACGCATGGACAAAATGCTAAGGCGGCTAAAAAGAGATTGCCGTATCTCCGCCGATTTCGCTGTGGCGCAGGAGAAAATACTTCGCTTTTATTCCTGCATTCACACCGATGTAAACGCGACAGGGAATTCAATCCGAATAGACTGATGACATGCCTCGAGTGCTAAAAATACACAGCTGAATAACGAACATCAGCATGAGCTTTCATTTTCCGCCAGACTAGAAAACGGAGCTTCCGCGAGCGAAAAACGAATTAATAATGGATCACGACTAGGTTTGCGCATCCGTATATGAAATAATATCGCGGCGGTCTAGCTGTATCTATGCAATTCATGCTTGCCGAAAGCACCCACATGCGCGTCTGAGTGGACGGATGTGTGCGTGTGTGTGTGTGTGTGTGTGTGTGTGTGTGTGTGTGTGTGTGTGTGTGTGTGTGTGTTTGC